AGGCCTTATCTTATTCTTATCCATAGTAAAAACTCAAATGTTTGTTAAATAAATACACAGGCGTTTCAAAGAAGGAAGCACAAGAAAAAATTAGAGTCATAAATATTAATCCTATCCAACCTCCATACTCTTTAACTCTACACATACCTGTTAAATAAATATTAGGATTACTATGCTGTTTCTGACGTGGATTTCCCCACATAGGTCTGCGAGGATAAAGTTATGCCTTAATAAGAGCCTATCTCAAAGGAAAATATATTCTTAGAGCTGATTTGCAAGAGAAGTTGCTGATCATTGGACAGAAACCTGAATTGAGAAGGTGGGACTTCATAACTTACTTCCTTTCTCTCCTTTCTCTTTCTGGGGTATACAGATAGAGGAGGGGAGTTCTTTTTTTTTTTTTCAATAAAGACTCTCACTCTGTTGCCCAGGCTGAGGTACAGTGGCACAATCTTGGCTCACTGCAACCTCTGCCTCCTGGGTTCAAGCGATTCTCCTGCCTTGGCCTCCTGAGTAGCTGAGATTACAGGCATGTGCCACCACGCCCGGCTAATGTTTTTGTACTTTCAGTAGAGATGGGGTTTAGTAGGGAAGGGGTTTCACCATGTTGACTGGGGTTTCCCCATGTTGACTGGGGTTTCCCCATGTGGACGGCCTAGAGGAGTTCTTACCGCTTTTTTTGCACCGTGGGTCCCTTTGGCAGTCTGCTGAAGCTTATAAATCCCTTCTCAGAATGCATTAAAAATTGATTAAATAAAATACACAGGATTACAAAAAAAAACTAATTATATAATATAAATTAGAAAATATTTTTAAATGTAAGATAGTAACGTATATGCTCCCTTATTTTTGTGTTTTTCTTTTCTTTTCTTTTCTTTTTTTTGAGACAGAGTTTCACCCTGTTGCCCAGGCTGTAGTGCAATGGGCGATTTTGGCTTACTGCAGCCTCCATCTCCTGGCTTCAAGCAATTCTCCTGCCTCAGTCTCCCAAGTTGCAGGGCATGTACCACCACACCCAGCTAATCTTTTATATCTTTAGTAGAGATGGGGTTTCAACATGTCGGCCAGGCTGATCTAAAATTCCTGACCTTGTGATATGCCTGTCTCAACCTCCTAAAGTGGTGGGATCACAGGCGTCAGACACTGTACCTGACCTCTTTTTTCTTTTTTTTGAGACAAAGTTTTGCTCTCGTTGCCCAGGCTAGAGTGCAATGGCACGATCTCAGCTCACTGCAACCTCTGCCTCTCAGATTCAAGTGATTCTCCTGCCTCAGCCTCTTGAATAGCTGGGATTACAGGCAAGTGCCAACACACCTGGCTAATTTTACACAGGGTTTCTCCATGTTAATCAGGCTGGTCTCAAACTCCGGACCTCCGGTGATCCGCCCACCTCAGTCTCCTGAAGTGCTGGAATGATAGGCGTGAGCCACTGCAACTAGCCTGTTTTTCTTTTTTATCAAGACAGAGTCTTGCTATGTTGCCCAGGCTGGTCTTGAACTGCTGGGCTCAAGCAATCCACTGGCCTTGGCCTCCCAAAGTGCTGTGATTACAGGCGTGAGCCACTGCGCCCAGCCCTCCCTTATGAAAACATTAAGTAAGACCTAGCATAAGGTATAACAGCAACAATAATAATGAGCAATTTCAATACTTTTACAATATAAGTAAACTGAAGTTAAAATGTGTGAATTATTTTAGTTTCAGTCATAAATACTGGTAATACAACTGTGGTTTAGTGTTTTCACAACTGAAAGAAATGTTCGATTTCAGTTAGCCATTAATGAAAATAAACCTGACTTTTTTTCTTAATCATGTTCAAATACCCCTGCCATCTTTCTCTAAATTCTGACATAATATAATAGAAATACCCAAGAAAGCACTTGTGGATAATAAAAAAATGTCAAGCAGAAAATAACCATATTCATGTTATTGGCAATATTAAATTTCATTTTTAACAGTTTGACTTTTGTCAAAGTTTTATTTTTATATTTCAGTCTTCATGGAACATTAAAATAAGACTTCACTTATGCCTATAATCCCAGCACTATGGGAGGCCGAGGTGGGCGGATCACCTGAGGTCAGGAGTTTGAAACCAGCCTGGCCAACATAGTGAAACCCCATCTCTACTAAAAATACAAAAAGTAGCCGGGTGTGGTGGCAGGTGCCTGTAATCCCAGCTACTCTGGAGGCTGAGGTGAGAGATTCACTGGAACCTGGGAGGCGGAGGTCGCAGGTTGCACTGCTGCACTCTAGCCTGGGCCACAGAGTGAAACAGTGTCTCAGGAAAAAAAAAAAAAAAAAAAAAACGCTCTGCACAGTAAACGAAACAACAGAGTAAAGAGACAATCTGCTGAATAGGAGAAAATATTTGCAGACTATTCATGTGACAAGGGACTGATATCAGCAATACAAAAGGAAGTCAAACAATTCAACAACAAAACCAAAAAAACCACAAATAATCCCATTAAAAAGTGGGCAAAACGCTGGCTGCAGTGGCTCACGCCTGCAATCCCAGCACTTTGGGAGTCCAAGGCTGGAGAATTGCTTGAGCCCAGGAGTTCAAGACCAGCCTGGGCAACACAGGCAGAACCGCAGAACCCCATCTCTAAAATAACAAAATTTAAAAATTAGCCAAGCGTGGCAGCATGCTCCTTTACTCCCCAGTTACTTGGGGTGTAGGGGGTGTGGTGCGGGTGCTGAGGTGTAAGAATCACTTGAGCATAGGAGGTGGAGGCTGCAGTCAGCCATGATCATGCCACTGAACTCCAACCTGGGCAACAGAGAGAGACCCTGTCTCAAAAAAAAAGTGAGCAAAGAACATGAATAGGTATTTCTCAAAAGAAGACATCCAAACAGACAACAGGTATATGAAAAAATGTTCAACATCACTAATCATTAAAGAAAGGCAAATCAAAACCACCAAGAGATACCATCTTACTCATCAGAATGGCTATTTTTTATACAGTTTTTTAAATTGAATTTTAGGTTTTGGGGTACATGTGAAGAACATGCAAGACTGTTGCAGAGGTACACACATGGCAGTGTGATTTGCTGCCTTCCTCCCCATCACCTATATCTGGCATTTCTCCTCACGCTATCTCTCTCCAACTCCCCACCCCATTTTTTTTTTTAGACAAAATCTCATTCTGTCTGGCCTGGGCTGGAGTGCAGTGGTGCAATCTCAGCTCACAGTAACCTCTGCTTCCTGGGTTCAACTGATTCTCCTGCCTCAGCCTCCTGAGTAGCTGGGACTACAGGTGTGCATCACCACACCCAGCTAATTCTTATATTTTTAGTAGAGATGGGGTTTCGCTATGTTGGCCAGGCTGGTCTTGAACTCCTGGTCTCAGGTGATCTGCCCACCTCGGCCTCCCAAAGTGCTGGGATTACAGGAGTGGGCCACTGAGCCAGGCCCAGAATGGCTATTATTGAAAAAACAAAAAAATAACAGGTGCTGGTGAAAACACAGAAAAAAAGGAACTCATACACTGTTAATGGGAATGTAAATTAGCACAGCCATTATATAAAACAGTACGGAAATTTTTCAAGAACTAAAAATTAAAGTACATATGATCCAGCAATCCCACTACTAAATATGTATCTAAAAGAAATCAGTTTAACAAAGGGATATCTGCGCCCCCATGTTTACTACAGCACTATTCACAATAGCCAGGATATGGGACCAACCTAAGTGCCATAAAGGGACAAATAAATAAAGAAAATGTGGTGTATACACACAACGAAATACTATCAGTCATAAAAGAGAATGAAATCATGTATTTGCAGTAACATGGATGGAACAGGAGTTATGTTAAGTGAAATAAGGCAGGCACAGAAAGACAAATAGCACATATTCTCACTACTATGTGAGAGCTAAAACAGCAGACCTCACAAAGATAGAAGGCAGACTGATGGATACTAGAGACTGGGAAGGGTGCATAAGTAAGGCAAGGGAATGAAGAGAGGTTTGTTCATAGGTACAAACATATAGTTAATAGAAGGAATAAATTCTAACATTCCACAGCAGAGAAGGGTCACTAAAGAAGGTATTATGTATTTCAAAATAGCTAGAAGAGAGGGCTTGAAATCCTCCAACACAAACACAGAAATGGTAAATACTGAAGGTGAGAGATACCCTAAATACCCTGATTTCTTTTTTTTTTTTTTTTTTTTTGAGACGGAGTTTCACTCTTGTTACCCAGACTGGAGTGCAATGGCGCGATCTCGGCTCACCGCAGCCTCCGCCTCCTGGGTTCAAGCAATTATCCTGCCTCAGCCTCCCGAGTAGCTGGGACTACAGGCGCGCGCCACCGTGCCCAGCGAATTTTTGTGTTTTTAGTAGAGACGGGGTTTCACCATGTTGATCAGGATGGTCTCGATCTCTTGACCTCGTGATCCACCCGCCTCAGCCTCCCAAAGTGCTGGGATTATAGGTGTGAGCCACCATGCCCGGCCACCCTGATTTCATCATTACACATTCTATGCATGTAACCAAATATCACAGATAACCCAATAAACATGTACAAATATTATCAATAAAGAATAAGACTTCATTAATGAATCTGTGTAACGTCTAACAGACATCAACTGTGTACATGCTTGACTGGTGCTAAAAAGAAAGGGGGGGGGAAAGGAGTGACACCTTGCCATCCTCACCCTGAAGCTAGCTTCATGTTGGCTGCAGCTATCAATAATAGATCAAGAAAGGGAAATCCTAGGAGACCAAATTGGGACCAAGAATCCAACTTCCTCTCAAAGTGAGATTTCACTGCTACTGCCAACTTTAGAGATTCAGGTTTTATTCTTCTTAAGAGGGGCGACATTGCTCTATAATGGCAACTTACTAGATTACTGATTTATATTGCCACGTGTAAAAAAAAAATAGCAGTTAATAAGGGTTTACACCATTATCAAGACAGTACAAAAACATACTGGGACTGAAGATGTTTCAGTATTTTATGACAACTACCTATTATAAAACTGTGATGCATACAAGCACATACCTGCAGTAATTCCAGGGTCATAGGAATATTCTTAAGCTCCTTTAGCAAATCCAGTGCTCCAGCCTATAAAATAAAACAATTTCATATTGAATTCCCAAGATGGCAAAACAGGGACTACCCAGAAATAAGGTTCATGGGATAATCACGGAAAGCACCTAGAGGAATAAAATCAGATAAGGAGCAACAGCACCACCTAGAGCTTGTAGCCAAATACTCTAATTTAATATTAATTTAATCTATCATATTTCATCTAATCAAATACATTCACATTCTATTGCATTTAGTCTAATATTTACTTCAAATACTATATCTGCATAATCACTTCTTTATATACTATTAATAAAGAAAAAATGATTTAACTATGATACAGTGTTTTATTATAACTTTTTTTTTTTTTTTTTGGAGAAACAGTCTCACTCTGTCACCCAGGCTAGAGTGCAGTGGCACAATCTCGGCTCACTGCAACCTCCGCCTCCCAGTTTCGAGTGATTCTCCTGCCTCAGCCTCTTGAATACCTGGGATAACAGGCACTCACCACCACACCTGGCTAATTTTTGTATTTTTAGTAGAGATGGGGTTTCACCATGTTGGCCAAGATGGTCTCAATCTCCTGACCTCGTGATCCGCCTGCACCTGGCCTAGGGTGCTGTTTTCATACTGTAACACTTAGAAAGCAGGATAAGTACAGTTGAGGCAGGAGAATCGCTTGAACTCAGGAAGTGGAGGTTGCAGTGAGCCAAGATCGCGCCATTGCACTCCAGCCTGGCGACAAAGTGAGACTCCATCACACACAAAAAAAGAAAAAGAGGCACCCTACAAATCAGCGAAATACAAGATACCTCAAAAACCAGAAAGAACCAGAGCATATTCCTCATTGAACACGCCAAAGGAAAAAGCAAGCGAAGACTCTCAAAATATCACTTTATTTCTTAAATATACTATCAAGTAAAGGCTTCTAGTCACGCGATTTTTCATTTAAAGGTGATGGACATTAGGCGTGGCCTTCGAGAATAAAACTATTAGCTTTTATTCTGGTAACAAAGAGTTACATCATTTTAATTTAACCCAATACCTCAAAAATGAAAATTTAAGTTCAACAGAAATCATGACAGGTTATTATAAATAAACTGTTTGAATTATTTGTTGTTTAAAGATCTCTCCTGATCTTAAAATTCTATAAATTCTTCCTATTTAGAGTCATCTAGAAACAGTAAAACATTAAAGTTGTTGGAAAAGGAAACTAACACTGCCTTAAAGTGTATTATTAAACAAGAATTTCTACAGGCATGACATTTTTGTGAATAAATGAAGTCTTCAATCCCTTATCTGCAAATTCCCAGACCAAAAACCTTTGAAAAGTAAAAGATTTCTAGAGTTCTTATAGGTATAAAAACTCATTTGGCAGCTAACCCTAATGTCTACACATGTGAAGTTATCTGTGTTCTATTTATGCCATGTAATGTGAATATTACTGTTAGAGAAATGATAATGCCTGGTTCCTGAAGTGCCCAAATCCTGCTGGGGGTATTACATAATCTATGATATATGTACCAAATTATCTTCATAAAATCCGAAAGATCTGAAATTACCAATGTATCAGACCCTACTAATTTTCATTAACAAACTGTAGAAGTCTGGTCAACACAGCATGACCTCCTCTCTACAAAAAATAAAAATAAAAAATTAGCTGGCCATAATGGCTGTGATCCTAGCTACTTGGGAAGCTGAGGCGGAGGATTGCTCACACCCAGAAGCTTGGGGTTACATGACCCATGATCATGCCACTCACTGCAGTCTAGCCTGTGTGGACAGAGTGAGACTCCATTTATAAAATAAAATTTAAAAAAACAAACAACAACAACAAAAAAAACAGACTGTGGGCCTGTATTCTACCATTGACATTCTTCTACCCACATCTCCAGGCTTTCTGATCCACTTCTGACCAAGCATCAATTAATAACAATAAAGACTCATCTTCTAAAAGTTCCTTAAAAAGCAGGGTCTCCTAACATGAGGCTCATTCTTCTAACATATCAGCAATGTAACATATGGTTTCAACTGTTTTCCAAGTAGAGGTAATATATTTGCATTAATTTTGTTTCTTTCCCTTTCTACTCAGCTCTCTGGTAAGGTCATGGTTGGAAGAAAAAGCTAAAAATAACACTCAAGGAATAAAACTATGACCTTTCTGAAAATTGCACTGTGTTCCAACCAATTCAAATAAATACTTCACTGAAGGGTCTTTAAGAATAAGTATGGGCCAGGTGCGGTGGCTCACACCTGTAATCCCTGCACTTTAGAGGCAAAGGCAGGTAGATCAACCTGAGGTCAGGAGTTTGAGACCAGCCTGACCAACATGGTGAAGCCCCATCTCTACTAAAGACACAAAAATTAGCTGGGTGTGGTGGCAGGCGCCTGTAATCCCAGCTACTCAGGAGGCTGAGGCGGGAGAATCGCTTGAACCTGGGAGGCGGAGGTTGCAGTGAGCTGAGATTGTGCCACTGCACTCCAGCCTGAGTGACAAAGCAAAACTCTGTCTCAAAAAAACCCAGAAACAAACAGAAAGTAACTATGATGGTCTGAGTCAAACACAAAACAGGTAATCATACATTAATTCAGTGACAACAAACTCTGTTTGCACTATGTGCTCGGCATTATTGAATACTTCACATATACTGAATTTCACCTGCACTATAAATCCTATAGAATCAGGTAATCTATTATCTCCATTTTGCAGATGAGGGACTGTGTCAAGAAACTTGCACAAGGTACTATGATTACTAACTAGAAAAGGTGAGATCTACTCCAGTAATTTCAAATGTACCAGGCTATACTGTGTTGGGGATACAGCAGTGAGCAGACAGAAATCTTTCTGCTATCAAGGAATTTTAAAACAAACAGAAATATTTGATGATCTATTTCAAACTCTTAGTTACACTTAAACCCACAAAAGGAAAGTGACTTGCCCAAGGTCATACCGATGGGTACTAAGAACATAAACTAGTCGCCTGACCCTCATCCCACTGCCCTTTCCCCAGCAGTGGCAGTGCTCCTTTGTGAACTCAGTGACCACTATTACCAAACAAGAAGCTGTACTTTAGCCTTCCCCAAGCATCACCTGTCTCTAAATGTCCAGTCTTGGCCAGGTACAACGGCTCAACCTGTAATCCCAGCACTCTGGGAGGCCTAGGGCAGGAGGATCACTTGAGCCCAGGGGTTCGAGACCAGCCTGGGTAACAGAATGAGATCTCGCCTCTATTTAAAAAAAGAATACATGTCCAAATCTATGAGATTGCAGCATCTCCTATAGATGATGCCAGAGAAAGACTCTTTTTTAATTTCCATAGCCAAATTTAGTTCACACTACTGGCTGAAAGATAAACTACAGCTATCACACTATTTTATTACATCGTTGGTGCTCCTATCTGGCAACAGAAAAAAAGTGCTTTTATAAACCATGGTATTCACACTTGTACTATGTGTTCAGTATACCCAAGACCACGTAGGATACAAACATCCGTCTCCTCAAGGAGATGTACAAAAGAGGGAGTAATAGATGATTTAGGGTCAAGAATACGATGTACATATATGACAGATCTAGATTCAAATCCATGCTCTGCCATTTCCTAGAACTGTAAGATCTTGGTAATGTTATTGGTCCTTTTCAAGCTTCAGCTTCTTTACACATAGGCGAGCATAATACGCCAACCTCGATAGGTAGTTATAATAGCCAATGAGGCAACATTACACAGATGAAGTATCAAAACAGAGGTCTGACACCCAGGACGGTAGATGAGGAGCACAATAATATACAAATAATTACTTATTTCCACCACAATAATAATCTCCCAGTCATTAGCCAGCATTTTCAGTGAGCATATTTAAGCTCAATCAAGTAAAACAATTACTTTTTCTATAATAGTGCCTTCTTCACTGGCATTGTTATAAGATTTCAAGGTAAACAATTAAGATGTTATCTATTTTTTGAGACATAGTCTCACTGTGTCACCCAAGCTGGAGAGCAGTGGCATGAACTCAGCTCACTGCAACCTACGTCTCCTGGGTTGAAGCTATTCTCCTGCCTCAGCCTCCCAAGTAGCTGGGACTACGGGAGCCCGCCACCATTCCTGGCTAATTTTTGTATTTGAAGTAGAGGCAAGGTTTCACTATGTTAGCCATGTTGGTCTTTTTTTTTTTGAGATGGAGTCTTGCTCTGTTGCCAAGCTAGTACAGTGGCACAATCTTGGCTCACTGCAGCCTCTGCCTTCCAGGTTCAATGGTTCAAGCAATTCCCCTGCCTCAGCCTCCCAAGTAGCTGACACTATAGGTGGGCGACACCACGCCAGCCAGTTTTTTGGATTTTCAGTAGAGACGCGGTTTCACCAAGTGGGCCAGGATGGTCTTGATCTGACTTTGTGATCCACCCACCTTGCCTCCCAAGGTGCTGGGGTTACAGATGTGAGCCACCGTGCCCGGCCCGCTATCTACTTTTTTTAAAAGTAAACAATGAATTAGAGATATGTGACTTATAGCTTGGTAACATCACTATAAAGCTAGGACTTAGAATATTCCTATGTTTTCTCAAATTTGTAGTTAAACTACACCAAAAGCACAAAAAATATATAAATTCATGTTCATCAAAATTAGAAGCTGTTATACTTCAAAGCCACAACCAAGAGTAGACAGACAACCCACAGAATGAGAGACAGTATCTGCATATCTAATAAGGATCTAGTATTCAGAATATAAAGGACTCTTCCAACTCAATAATAAAAAGACAACCGAGGCAGGGCGCGGTGGCTCACACCTGTAATCCGAGCACTTTGGGAGGCCGTGTGGATCACGAGGTAAAGAGATCGAGACCATCCTGGTCAACATGGTGAAACCCCATCTCTACTAAAAATACAAAAAATTAGCTGGGCACGGTGGCACGTGCCTGTAACCCCAGCTACTCAGGAGGCTGAGGTAGGAGAATTGCCTGAACCCAGGAGGCGGAGGTTGCGGTGAACTGAGGTCGCGCCATTGCACTCCAGCTTGGGTAACAGGAGCGAAACTCCGTCTCA